ATCTGCAGTTCAAAAGGAAATCTCACCGGCTCAAGGTTGACTCAGCCTTCCATCCTTCCGAAGTGGATGAAATGAGGACCCAATATGCTGAGGGGGCAATATGCTGACTCTGTAAACCACTTAGAGAGGGCTGAAAGCCCTATGAAGCGGTATATAAGTCTAACTGCTATTGCTATTGCTATTGCTTGAAGAGCCATCAGCCAGTTACTTCTAAAATCAAAGCACCAATGTGAACAGGTGTCCTTCAGAAGACTTCATCTCACCCATACGGCATTGGCATCATTCAGTCTCAAAAGACTATGGTATCATGCTCTGGAAAGAGGTAAAGCTGGAGTGTCCTCTCCAGAGCACGAGGCCTGGGTAGATTAATATGGAGGATAGACTGTTACCCAAGCAGCAGATCCCCCCTCTCTACGTCTGAAATAGTCCAATAGAACAGCAGAGCCAATACGATTGGTTCCAGCTGCGTCGCAGGAGTTACCAGAACATGGTTGTACAACCAAACTGCTTCCAGGACTCCGGCTGTGGGTACAGTCATAAGGCAGTGGAGGTTTGTAATCAGAGTTTCCCTTCTCCTAGAAGATGGTTCTGCCGCTTCATCTGCCATTGGGGCGTAGAGCCCTCTTCCGCCTTCAAAACCGTGGACCGTCTTCTCCTGTAACCCTGGAAAGGGGCCCTTACGAGGTGCTCTCAGCCGGGCCAGCTGGACCAGGGTTTTTTAAGGAGGTGTCACTCCTCCATCTCTCTCCCTTTGTCCTGGCTTGTGAAAGGCAGAGCCTGGCTTCTCAAACATTGGGCCCAGGATGTTTATCTCACCCATAGCTATGGACATTTAAAGAATAGCATGGCTTCACTCCTGGGTACCTGCAAGGCTGCTCCTTACAGATGGATCCAGCCCATATTTATTTATTTATTAAATTTCTACACCACCCATTAGTTCAAAAATGAAAAAAGCCAATCAGATTTATAAAGAATAAAGCATGATAACTATATAATAAAAGTTCTTGCATCAGAGACAGCTCAACCATTCTATACAAGTTTCAAAATCTCCTAACCCAGTTAGATTGTCAAAGGATTGGAATGTTATGACTAATTTTTAACTTCTGCTACATTGAAATTTGCTGGCATTTTTAATAACTTCTATTTCAATGAGGTTATTGGTTTGAAGCAGAGGTAGGTTCCCAATTTCTTTACTACCAATATGGGCGTGCTCCTGCACACGCTTGTGTGACACTTCCGCACATGCAGAAGGGCGGGTGGGCAGAGACTCCCGCCGCCGCTACTCCCAGTTTGGCCAATCCGGCAGCAACCCATCTCTGGTTTGAAGTTATGTACATGAAATCAATAAATAGATAAAATATAGTAGAGTGATTGCCTGCCAGTAGGGTTTTGTCAAATTTTCCTCTTACAAAGTCTGGCCAGAAGCCGTTAATCTCCAAAATCAGCCTAAAGGTTCTGATTAAGGAAGCTTATTAGAAAGAATGGATTAAGCTATAGCTCAAGAATACCAGAGACTGATTTATTTTCAAATGAAGCTTCTTCCTACTTTGGCAGCAGATCTTCCAATATATGAAGCTTCAAAAAGCAGGACTGGCCAAACTCCGATTCCCATATCAACCTGGAAAATTAGTATTCAGGTTCTTACCATAACAATCCACATCTATGAGTGAACGCTTTCTTTCTCTCCCCTCCCTCCCTTGTTCCATCTACCTACCTACCTACCTACACAATATTTTTCAAACTTGCCAACTTTAAGATGTGTGTGCTTCACCTCCCAGAATTCCCAATCCAACAAGCAAAGTCAAAGAGGGAAGGCAGATTTACTTAATGACTGTGTAATTTATTTATTTTTATTTTATTTATTTAGTTTGTCACTCACTCACAAGATAACGGAAATAAGAATAAACACGAATAAGAACACAGGAAATGGGTACGAATAAATGGGGACAGTAGGACAGGGACAGAAGACACGCTGGTGCAGTTATTACACCCCTTACAGACCTCTTAGGATTGGGGTGAGGTTCACAATAGAGAGTTTAAGGTTAAAGCTACGGGGATTAGAGGAAATAACAATGGAGCCAGGTAGAGCATTCCAGGCATTGACCACTATGTTGCTGAACTCATTTTCTGCAATCAAGATTGGAGTGGTTTATCTTGAGTTTGTATTTATTGTTTGCCCGTGTATGATTGCGGTTGAAGCTGAACTAGTCATTGACAAGTAGACGTTGTAGCAGACAATTTTGTGTACTACACTTAGGTCAGACTGTAGGTGACGTAGTTCAAGGTTGTCCAAGCCCAAAACTTTGAGCCTGGTGGCATAAGGGATTCTGTTATGAGCAGAGGAGTGGAGGACTCTTCTTATGAAATACCTCTCAATTGTATTAATGTTCGATATACAATGTGAATTCCAGGTAGAAGAGCTGTATTCGAGGATTGGTCAGGCAAAGGTTTTGTATGTTCACCTAATTCACCTAACAAGCATTGCAAAAAAAAAAAAAAAGCAAAATTAGGCACGACTCATTTAACAACCACTTTGATTAGTAAAGAAATTCTGGTCTCAATTGTGGTCATAAGTCAAAAACTCATTGTACCTGGAAAGATAATTATTTGATACTACTTTAATGTAGTAGGAATGGTGGGAGAAATTGGATAGTGGTGTGTAACCAGTGAACTGATGAGCCAGGTGAATGCCATCATTAGAATGATCAAACATGTGTCTCTGCTGAATATCATTTCAGTTTCTGCCAGCAGAGAGCAGTAGAAAACTGTTTTCCTGCTCTAACCAAAAGATACAGACTATCGGGCAACTAATCATCAGGCTTCCAGTTCCTTCCACACCTATCAAGAATACTGAAGGTTGCAATGATAGGGCAGATAGGGCCATGGCTTAAGCCAGGGGTCTCCAAACTTGGCAACTTTAAGATTTGTGGATTTCAACTTGTGGACTTCAACTTCCCCATGCTGGCTGTTGAACTCCACAAGTCTTAAGTTGCCAGGTTTGAAGACCCCTGGCTTAGACTTTAGGGCATGAGTTCTCAAACTACCAAAGCCATTAATCTGGCCTGCACAGGACCACAAGGCTGCCCCACCCACATTGCCCCACCCACCCTTTGGCCCAGCACAGGACTTACCTTCGGGAGCCCTGCGGGCTGGAACTGAAAGATTAAGGCCAACAATTTTGGCCTGCAGAAAATGAGCCGTTTTTGTCTGTTTTTGGCCTGCAGAGACATTCTCTAGGTGGGGTGGTGGTGGTAATGAAAAACGGGGCATACAAATGCCCCAGGAGGACAAAAAACAGGCCAAAATGGCCCGGTTTTGGCCAAAAAAAGAGCCATTTTTGCCTGTTTTTAGCCTGCAGAATGCTTCTGGAGGGGTGGTGGTGAAAAATGGGGTGTACAGACACCCGAGGGCCAAAAAATGGGTGAAAACAGTTCGTTTTCCCCTCCCCATCTCCAGAAGATAGATAAAGAGGGAGAGAGACTGAGAGAGACAGAGNGTTCAAAGCAACTCCCGCCCTAGTAAACCTTGTCCTAAATGTGGAAAAATGGGACATTGGGCCAGAGAGTGCTGCAGAAATCCCTCACAATTAGGGAATCAGGGAAACTAGATGAGGGGCAGGGCGTCAGCCCCGAATACCAAGACGCCATTTTAAGCCCCGAATATCAAGACGCCATTTTAAGTAAGCAACTTCCTCAAGCCACGCCCAGAAGTGTCCATCGTCAGCTTAAAAGCTTACGTGAATTGCCCACAGATGATTTAAGAGAACCAAAGGGGGTGCGAATGAGACCAGGAGAGGATGTTGATGAGGATGATTTAAAAGCTGTCATCCTAACCGCCCAAGAGGATATCGATATGCCTGTAGTAGGAATGCTGTACTACATAAAGCTGGACCTTAGTGTACTGCATTTCCCACCTGCTGCAGCTGTGCTCCTATACCCCGGAGAAGAAATCCTCTTGCATAAACTCATGGCCTCTCCCTACATGTTAAACCCCACAATTCTATCGTCCGTAGCTTTGGCTGTGGTCCCCACGGAACCAACATCATTGCAGCAAGGAACAGAGGTGGCCATTGCAATTCCAATTGTGGTGGATTGTGACCCTTATCAGAAAAATCCGTTAAGGCACGCCACCATTAGTCCCTTTAAGGATCTAATAGAGCCTGATTTGGACTCTATGACGGAACCCAAAGATCAGAACATCTGGTTTACAACAAGAATTACCAGTAAAAGGCCAATGCTTACCATTTTGATCAATGGCCAACCTTTCACTGGACTTTTGGATACAGGTGCAGACATTACAGTCATCGCCTCATCCCAGTGGCCATCTCAGTGGCCGGTTAAAACATCCCCCGCAGTTAGGGGTGTGGGGGGAGTTCAAATGGCACAAGCTAGTGAACGATGGCTCCAAGTAGAAATACCCGATTCTAAGCAAATTGCCAAAATCAGACCGGTGATTCTGCCTTTACACGTGAACTTGTGGGGACGAGACTTAATGTCTCAGATTAGTTCACAATTACAATTTGAATAAAATGGAATCTTTAATGAAAATGGTGTTAAAAGATGATACCCCAATTTGGCAGGATCAGTGGCCTTTACCTGGAGAAAAGCTCGATGCGTTGCAAAATATTGTGGAAGATCTGTTAAAAAATGGTAAAATTGAACCTTCTAATAGCCCATATAATACCCCTGTTTTTGTAATAAAAAAGAAAAGTGGAAAATGGCGAATGTTACAAGATCTAAGAAAAATTAATGCGGTAATTGTGCCTATGGGACCCCTACAATGTGGATTACCTAACCCAAATTTAATACCTCAGAATTATGATCTAACAATAATAGATTTAAAAGATGCTTTCTTTTCCATTCCTCTGTGCAAGGCCGATAGAAAATTGTTTGCATTCACCATTCCTGTTTATAATCATCATAAACCAGTACAAAGATATCAATGGACTGTTTTACCCCAAGGGATGCTTAATAGCCCAACTATGTGTCAATACTATATCGGCAATATTCTACAACATTTTCGAGAACAGTATCAGGAAATAATCATATGTCATTATATGGATGATATTCTTCTGGCCTGTAAAAAGGGGATCGAGATGAGACAAGTGGTAACCAAACTACTAAGATTATTTAATTTAAATGGATTTCAAATATCAGAAGAAAAAATTCAAACCACTTCCCCCTTTGCTTATTTGGGTCACATTATTATGGAAAATGCTTCACAACCGGTGCTTCCGGAATTGACCTTGCCACATACTTGTACACTGGTGGAGTTACAAAAGTACTTGGGTACTCTGAATTGGGCGAGACCTTATATGGGATTAACCACTGTACAATTGCAACCATTATTTGACCTACTAAAAGGAGGGAAACAACCTGGAGATAACATACAAATAGGAGAAAATCAAAAGGAATGTCTAGAATTAATTTCTAGGGCATTAAACCAAAAATGGGTTGACCGATGTGAAGAAGGAGTCCCAATATCTGTGGCAATTTTGGGCACCCCAGTATTACCTACTGGAATACTATTCCAAAAGGAAAAGGATAAGTTGTTAATTTTAGAATGGATTCATTTACCAAATACCCCTAAAAAGACAATTTCCACAAGAGATGAGTTATTGGCACAACTTATTATGAAATTGCGAGATAGATGCATTGCTAGGACAGGAAGAGAACCAGAAAATATATTTACCCCTGTCCCTTTACCATACTGGGAACAATACTTCCAAATGTCAGAGCATTTGCAGATGGCATTAGCTAATTATAATAACGCAATTAAATATCATCTTCCGGCAGACTATAGAATAGCATTAATCCAACAAGTTCCATTTAGATTGAACACCCTGTTTTCAATAAAACCCCTACAGAATGCAATTACAGTTTTTGCAGATGGTACTAAGAAACAGGGAGCGTGTGTCTACAGGGAGAAAGGGAAATGGGTGACTCATGTCACCTCACCACAAGCTTCTGCACAACGCGCAGAACTTGCTGCCTCTATTTTAGCTTTTCAATTATTCTTTGATAAACCATTTAATTTGATTGTTGATTCCTTATATGTATATAATGCTATAGTGCATATTTTTGATTCGTATATCTCCCCCACGGGGAATTTGGCACTTCTTGCTCAATTCATACAGTTAAAACAATTGATTGAAAAAAGAACTGATTTTTATTTTGTTGCACACATTAGGAGTCATCAACCTTTCCCAGGTATGCTTACAGAAGGAAATAACAAGGCTGACGAAGTGGCCAGAAACATATTTCATCTGGCCACTCCCTGGGAAAGTCATGAATTTTTTCACCAGAATGCTAATGCTCTTCGAAAAGAATTTGATCTTACAAGAACAGAAGCTTCAGCCATAATTCAACAATGCCCCACATGTAGCAAACAAGGTCACAATTTACCGATGGGAGTTAACCCAAGAGGGTTACAAAGAAATGAAATTTGGCAAATGGACATCACACAGCATCCACCCTTTGCACCATGGAAGTACATACATGTCACTGTAGATACATGTTCAGGGTTTATTTTTGCTACTGTACAAAGGGGAGAGACCAATAAACACGTAATTAACCATTGCATACGAAGTTTTGCGGTCCTAGGTACACCTAAGGAGCTGAAAACGGATAATGGGCCTGCTTATGTAAGTTCAAATTTTGCTCAATTTTGTAAAAAATTCTCAGTAACCCATAAATTTGGTATTCCTTATAATTCACAGGGACAAGGAATAGTGGAACGAGCAAATTTGACAATTAAGTTGATGCTTGAAAAACAAAAAGAAGGGGGAAACGGACCCCCCTCATTACCATCTATACAAACTCAATTAGCTAAAACAATATATACAATAAATTTTAAAAATTTGACCGGTTGTCCTAATCCTACTTCAGCTGCAGAAAGGCATTTTAGCCCTGGAGTAGTTTCCTCCACACCCCCTCTTGTGTTATATAGGACGCCTCCGGATCCTACCTGGAAAGGCCCAGCGGAATTGTTAACGTGGGGACGTGGGTATGCAGCTGTGAAAGGACCCGACAATAAACCCTTGTGGGTTCCAGCCCGAGGAATAAAACCGTTCCACCCCCCTGTGATAAAATCTGAACAACCCAAGTCAGACGATATCTGATGTGTTGGTTTTGTTCCTGCCCTTGTCAGGCGTGTTGCTGTCAACATTGCATCTTTTGCTGGAAGGAGAAGTGTCAATTGATTTGTCCAATTGCTTGTGATGTGTTTATGATTGATCAACAACTTGAGGCCTTTATTGATCCTCTGCATCTTGTGAGACAATCTACTCTTACGCCTACTCCAACAATAAAATACTCAGAGGATCATCCCTTTTGCCATTTCCATCATCAAAAGAAAAAATGAGGTTGCTTGCAAACCAAAATCATGTGTGCGAAAATGGATGTCATTTATG